GGGATTTGGGATGTTCATGGAATAGTGTGTAGTTATGGTTGCTCAGAATATAATTACTCATGAATTTCCATGAAAGACTTCCAGAACATTATCCATTGCCCTGCTCACCGTTGCTTAAGTGTACCTCAAATGTGAAGTGCACACATTTGACTTAAAATGTTTTTAGGGTTTTGTAACCAACATTTGTGTTCGGGTAAGGCCTCGTGGTGGCAGTTCTATGCCAACCTGTGTGTCAGTTACACTCTCTCACCTGATAAGCCTATCAGTTTTACACAAACTTTGTTTCGATGTACCAGTGTATTTATCATGTCTTGCTTAATACAGCGCCTTACCAGTGGCTTAGTACTGTGCTTGTCATGATTTAATTTAAATCATATGACTTTTCGCCCAAACTGCTTTGAGCTTCATCAGGTAATGAACTCAGAAATGGAGTGGCTGCTTTAACCGACTGTTAGTAACGTATATTCATGAATGTGGATATTAACAATTGTAAAGTATCTTTAAAATTTTAATTAATGACGTGTACAACATACTGAAGAGCACAAAATGCCAAAGAAAACATTCTGATTATTAATAATTCACATCGTTTATCAAGCCACTGCTGGATCCAGGCTTCCCCATGCGTTTTGGTCATTGCGGTTGTTCAACCATAAAATCACTTAATATGTATTGTCATCATATCTTATTGATTTCTTTATATATGGCCATAATATTTAATGCGTTTATATTTTCAGTAAAACATTTTTTTTACAATTACTATGTGTATTACTATATAAAGATTAATGTATCCATTGTATTGCATTACAGTATTAAAGATCGGATGATTGAATTTCAATCATTGCCATTTACATATTTCGTTCATCATTCAGATTAAGTCCCACTAGCTTCCGCATAGATAGAAGCGATGAAATCTGCTCATGTCCAGTGTTGTATATGTGGGTTATGAAAATTTGATGAAAATAATAAAATGAAATTAACATTATTTATCCGAAATTATGTTAATTTGTGCTAATTCGAGGGATAATCGTATTAATTTATGCGAATGGGTGTGGTTATGTTAATGCGAGCCGTTATGATAATTAGGCCCCGCCTCGTTGACGAGGGTCGGTTATCGGGATAATGCAATTACTCGTATGCAGTTATGCAGGTGCTGTGAGCATGTCAGATTAAACTCGGCTTCGCTGTTTAACTTCGTATTATCGATCAGTGTGATGCAATTATTCTTGCTTTAACATTTATTGAGTATGGATTAGTGTGTTATGTTAGGTCTCCAAGTTCAGATCTCAACGCAGAATCAGTTCTTATGCATGATTTAGGAAAGAAACACACAACACCTCTGCGTTAACCAATTTTATTTCTAACTAAACTTTAACTCTAAAAGATGCAACTCTCGACTCGGAATTCCAACATAGTATCAACACAGTATCATCATGACTGCGTTGTTTCACTTTGATAACAGCACATTGATTCATTCCCCACGTAACGCGAGCAGTTGGTGAGAGAGAGTCGTTAAAACATCTAAACAAAACAAAAAAAACCTTGATACTCTTATTATGAAAGATTATACTGGAATTTGCACACACAGTACCGCGTTCATTCATAGATCCATGAGCAACCCTTATCACGTTGTTAGCACATTGGGTCACGGAACAGTTGAGTATTCTGTAGAGTACGTGAGTACGTGTGGCGATCAGTAACGAAAGGTACTTAAAGATTATATGACGATATTCATACGAAAAGGCGATCAAAACAGTTATTATTCCCAAAGGCACAAATATATCAACAGATCCATCGGACATTATATGATTACCGAAATGGCGTAGAGTGAGGGTGTGCGGTGGGGTGCGCTCTCTCCCCTGATATCCTTATCTTGGGCCAACGTTTAATTAATTGTGGACCAGATCGCCTGATAAGGAAGCCGGTTGGATACGCTATTCCCCCACGTGAGCGTAGCTCCGTGGCGAAGGTCTCAAGGATTAATTCGTATTGATGGATCGGTTGGTAATTTATGCGATTAGAAGTACAGCCCAAAACAAAATATTAAGGAGGAAAATTATGAATATACTTATAAACGATGGAGTGTTCACTCGGTCTGCCGTGATGCCTTCACGGCCACTGATGGTTTACGGACTTGAGTATTGGCTTTTTGGTTAAGAACCCATGTATGTTTGAGTGATATGAATTGTGTTAAATCGTCAGTTTTCGGAATTGATTCTTTATGTCAAGCAGACGCCTGATTTTTCGTGTAGTGGAGCAGTGTGCGTCATACGTATTAGTTGATTCTCTTCTCACAGTAGTTTAGGTTCGGTCCATACTGGTTCATGTAGGTTGACCAGTTGACACGTTGTTGTAGTTGCGATGGCCCGTCGGTAGATGGCGCACACAGCTCGCTCGTAGCGTGTGCGGTGGTACCGTCGGCTTGGCGGCTGGCCCACGTTCCGCTCTTAGTGGGCACGGTTGTATGATCGGTAGATGGCGCTCGTCTGCTGGTCACTGGCACGGGAGTGTCGCTGAGTGTTGACCACCGGTTGCTCTATCGGGCGCTGGCGATACACGTTCGTTGCGATGCTACTTTTGATGGTGTGACTCGCACCACGTAGCCCCGTCGCTAAACAGCGGGCGGTAGAGACTTCTTCTGCGTCGATGGTGGTGGATCTTCTGCAGGGATGAGTTGAGCTGGTAAGCTGGTCTTGTCCGCTTACTGATGAGTTTTGTCGCGAAGTGGCACGCGCTTTCAATGTTGTAGTGTCCTATTTTATGCCAAAATCCCTCCTCTTGGCTCCTCCTAACAAGGCGGAGCTTCTTTTGATTTTGCTGTGTGTCGTGGTCTGGAGTGTGTCTGTATGTGCGTCCGTCCGTATGTGTGTCCGTGTGTGCGTCATTTATGGCATGGTTCTGTTGCCCTCCTCTTTCCATAAACCATAACAAAAAACAGATGTTACAAATCGTCTCAAAGGCGTCTCTTTGTCCGTCTTACACAATCTGGAGGGAGGGGCGAGATTCCCTCCTGTATGACCTTTCCCGACGCCCAATGGATGGTTAAGGTTTTTAAGTTAACATTTTATTCCATCATAGTTCATTCCATCATAGTCTTACAGTTATGATTCTGTATGTGACTCGAGGTCTGTTGTGTTAGTTTTCCATCGCGGTGTTTGATTTTATTTCAAGGGAAGGTGCTCTCTTGAGCGTATGCATATTCTTATCATGTGCTGCAGGAAGACAAAGGCGGCCGGGAGACTCTCCTTTTCCCTGGCCTCCGGTTTAACATCGCTCAAGTATCATGTAGTTTTATGTTCGACAAGTTTGTGATTCACCCCGTTATCCTGCCCTTTCCTCAGTTTTTTTTTTTATTTCGTCTTTTCGTGCGTATGCTTATCATTATATAATTTTATTTCCGATATCCTAGGTTAAGAGGTAGGTTTCTTGATCCTGGGAATTCGTATTCCTTGGTGTCTGCAAGGTTATATAAGCGGAATATAGTTTACGGTGAATAGCGTTAACATTGATGTTACGTATTAAATTATCTATTGTGATTTCTTTAACTTAAAACTTGTTCGCCTGGGGTTTTGCTGACACACGCTGCGCATTCCAAGGCATCTCTCCTGGGCCCCCTCCTCTCTGCTTGCATGTGTCGTGTGTGCGTTGCTTATTAGGTTTAGCTCTCCCTTGAACACAGATAGCCTGTGATAATTCCTTGCCTTCTGGTGCTATCTTTGCTCTCTCGTGCTGCGGGAAGACAAAGGCGTCTCTCTTTCTCTCCATTGCCCTTGGTTTACCATCACTCAAATTTTATTTGTTTTATGTTCAACAAGTTTGTGATTCACCCCGCTATCCTGGCCCTTATTAATTTTCGTCATTCCGTGTATAAGCTTTATCATTTATTATCATTTTATTCTCGATATTCTGAATCAAGAGGTAAGCCTCTCGATGGTCGGAATTCTCACTTCTTGGTGTCTGTGGGGTCGAGTAACGGGCAAGGGCATCGTCATTTTAAGTTGAATAGTGTTAGTATCAATGTTCTCTGTGACTGTGTCTTGTAATTTCTTTAACTTAATTTGTTTGCTGAGATTTGCTGACGCCTTCGTTCGTAAGGAATTTCCCCACCCCCCTCTCTGCTTGCGCGGGGTATGCCATTCGTCTAGCGGTGGTGGGGGAGTGTTGTTTACGGAGTCCTAGCTTTCCCGTGAGCGCAGGTGGCTGCAATAATTTCTTGGCTCTGGTTTCTGTCCGCTCTCCGGCGCTGCGGGAAGACAAAGGCGTCTCTTTCTCTCCGTTGCCCTTGAGTTAACACTGCATTATTATTTGCTTATGTCCTGAGGTTAGAGAATTCGTTTTGACTTAAGAAAAAATATTTCGGCCACTTTAAAAAACCAATATATATCGGCAAATATTTTTTTGATATTAATTGTGGAAAAAGGGCCGTATACAACACCAGGAGCTAGACATATTGTTGCATAGTCGGGCCATGAAGAGATGGCGTCTTGGAAAGGCCTTCCTCAGGCAGTGGATAGATCATGACTGACGATATGCATGATACAGGTTACACATCCTGGAGTTCCATGGAAGCCCATGGTGGCCCATGGAATATAAATTTAAGGTTTCTAGGAAGTAACCTCATGGCAAGGGGAAGAGGATTTTTTTTAACTGTTCATTGTGCAGTTTGTCCTCAAATAGAAGTAAAGAGAGTAATTACACAGTCTCTAAAAAGTAAACAGACTCAAACGATTAAATGAACAAACAGCATTGTGTTCTTTAGGCAGATTGAGTATTACTTTCTGGGGGCATTTTGTAGAGACTGGCAAACATACGATGAATCACCCTGGGGAACAAAAAGACGTAGGTAACCATTAACTGTCAAACATACGATTAATCACCCTGGGGAACAAAAAGACGTAGGTAACCATTAACTTTCTCCCATTTGTTTTAAATGTGGATTTCCCCAGCACTCATTTAGACCTCAAAACATTTTTCCATGGGGTAATTCCCCCGTGACAGCTGCCACTACACAGAGAACAAAGGGTGTTTGCATGGCATGGGAGTGGCACTCTGATAAATACGACACCAGAGCACCTGGACACTACTACAGCTGTAGCTCTTCCAGCAGTCACGATGAAGGCACTGCTCAGCATCGTCCTCGGTCTTCTCTTCCAGGAGCTCGCTTGCTCCACTTATGTAAGCTATGCGCGCTGTTGCAAGCCAGGCTCAATGTCTGACTGAATATATACTGGGTCACTGGTCGACTGGAGTAGGCATCTGACAAGTAACCACAACTATAATAATATATATACTGGAATTGGTGCTGCTGTGTGTTATAATAGACCTGGCTGAAATTAAGTGCGGGTTTCCTTAAAACTTTCTGGATGAACGATGGCTAATAGCTTATTATGACATTTCTGGCATTCTACGTGTATAATATCCTTCAGACATGATCTTTCCACTGCTGGATGAAGGCTTCCCCAAGCCATCTCCATCTCTCGTGGTCTTGTAGTCTACTAAGCAAACTTAATTAATTTAGTATAAACTTTGGGAACAATACCTCTTTAAATATTGCGGTGGATATACAATTGTCATGTTTAAAGTATGCGAGTTTGAGTGTGATGTGCTTCACGTTGTGATCTTCTCTTCAAAGCTGGCCCCTGGCACTTACACTAACAGCTCCCGGGATGCGGAGGGCCAGTGCGTGTGTAACGTCTATCTGCCGGACCCCGTCTTCCCGGCCGACATGGTGGAGCAGCTGCAGCTCAGCACCCAGACGATTGCCACGGCCGTCACGGTGGAGTCACAGAAGGTGACCTCTTCTTATTTCACCAGGAGCTTAAACATTGCCCATTAAGCCAACATGAAACATGACTAAGTTTTCACGGTGGCGCTTGCATAACTCTCCGATGTGTTTTCAGGTCGTACCACGTGTTCTGCATGATGTCTGACGTTTTGCTCCACGTGTTGCTAGCATGTTCAGGAATTTAATTCTGGAAGCCCACTATATATGGTGAAAAAGGTTTGACATCATGCCAAACAAGATGCGTTCCAGCGTGAAAACACATTCAGCCCAACAACACACGTGGAAATCAACACGAAACATTAACTACCGGCGAAACGTTGTACTTGTAAATGTTGTGGGGTTACTCTCCAACACACAGGTGTGCTGAACTTGTAATGAATTGGAATGTTTTGTTTACGTGAAAAACCTTACTAATCAGATGTGTTTAGTGCTAGCGGGATTAATGACATTTATATTTACGAGATCTAACCCAAAAAACCTTTATTATGGATAACACGAAACATTGTCTAATTCGCAAAGGTGTCCGGGATGAAAACATCCAGGTCACTTTGCAAATCGAACAAAAAAACAAAGCATCGATAACACTAATATGAAATTTAACATGACAGTCGTAAAAAATAACAATCTGCATAATATATTAAATTAAACACTGACTAAAGTATGCAGCTTATTATTTAATTAGTCAGGATGAAAAAAAACAGTATGGATAGTAAGGCATGAGGACTTCATGTGTGGGGCGCCACTTTGCCGAGATGTTAACTACCTCGGCTGGTATACTGGAGGTCGTGGGTTCGAGCCCGACCCTGACGCCCGTATATTTGGAGTTTGCATGTTCTCCCCGTGGTGGGGAGAACAAAAAGTATTTGATCCCCTGCTGATTTTGTACATTTACCCACTGACAAAGAAATGATCAGTCTATAATTTTAATGATAGGTTTATTTGAACAGTGAGAGACAGAATAACAACAAAATCCAGAAAAAACGCATGTCAAAAATGTTATAAATTGATTTGCATTTTAATGAGGGAAATAATTATTTGACCCCCTGCTGATTTTGTACGTTTGCCCACTGACAAAGAAATGATCAGCCTATAATTTTAATGGTAGATTTATTTGAACAGTGAGAGACAGAATAACAACAACAAAATCCAGAAAAACGCATGTCAAAAATGTTATAAATTGATTTGCATTTTAATGAGGGAAATAAGTATTTGACCCCTCTGCAAAACATGACTTAGTACTTGGTGGCAAAATCCTTGTTGGGAATCACAGAGGTCAGTCGTTTCTTGTAGTTGGCCACCAGGTTTGCACATATCTCAGGAGGGATTTTGTCCCACTCCTCTTTGCAGATCTTCTCCAAGTCATTAAGGTTTCGAGGCTGACGTTTGCCAACTCGAACCTTCAACTCCCTCCACAGATTTTCTATGGGATTAAGGTCTGGAGACTGGCTAGGCCACTCCAGGACCTTAATGTGCTTCGTCTTGAGCCACTCCTTTGTTGCCTTGGCCGTATGTTTTGGGTCATTGTCATGCTGGAATACCCATCCACGACCCATTTTCAATTCCCTGGCTGAGGGAAGGAGGTTCTCACCCAATATTTGACGGTACATGGCCCCGTCCATCGTCCCTTTGATGCGGTGAAGTTGTCCTGTCCCCTTAGCAGAAAAACACCCCCAAAGCATAATGTTTCCACCTCCATGTTTGACGGTTGGGATGGCGTTCTTGGGGTCATAGGCAGCATTCCTCTTCCTCCAAACACGGCGAGTTGAGTTGATGCCAAAGAGCTCCATTTTGGTCTCATCTGACCACAACACTTTCACCCAGTTGTCCTCTGAATCATTCAGATGTTCATTGGCAAACTTCAGACGGGCATGTATATGTGCTTTCTTGAGCAGGGGGACCTTGCGGGTGCTGCAGGATTTCAGTCCTTCACGGCGTAGTGTGTTACCAATTGTTTTCTTGGTGACTATGGTCCCAGCTGCCTTGAGATCATTGACAAGATCCTCCTGTGTAGTTCTGGGCTGATTCCTCACCGTTCTCATGATCATTGCAACTCCACGAGGTGAGATCTTGCATGGAGCCCCAGGCCGAGGGAGATTGACGGTTCTTTTGTGTTTCTTCCATTTGCGAATAATCGCACCAACTGTTGTCACCTTCTCACCAAGCTGCTTGGCAATGGTCTTGTAGCCCATTCCAGCCTTGTGTAGGTCTACAATCTTGCCCCTGACATCCTTGGAGAGCTCTTTGGTCTTGGCCATGGTGGAGAGTTTGGAATCTGATTGATTGATTGATTGCTTCTGTGGACAGGTGTCTTTTATACAGGTAACAAGCTGAGATTAGGAGCACTCCCTTTAAGAGTGTGCTCCTAATCTCAACTCGTTACCTGTATAAAAGACACCTGGGAGCCAGAAATCTCTATGATTGAGAGGGGGTCAAATACTTATTTCCCTAATTAAAATGCAAATCAATTTATAACATTTTTTACATTTGTTTTTCTGGATTTTGTTGTTGTTATTCTGTCTCTCACTGTTCAAATAAACCTACCATTAAAATTATAGACTGATCATTTCTTTGTCAGTGGGCAAACGTACAAAATCAGCAGGGGATCAAATACTTTTTTCCCTCACTGTATATCTCTTTTTTCAGAAACGATCTGGCCACATATGATAGCTCAACGAAGTGGCTTACCATGTGGACATTTCTCGCAGTAAAATACTTGAAGCATAATGTTGATTCTAAAGGTGGAGGGAAAACCCAGAGGACACAAAGGCACTTGTGTTCAGGGCACGTACTATGCCGATGAAACTCGCTGACAGTACAAGCGATTATCTTTGTTATGTGAAGGAGACATTGCGTATTTATTGTGTTATTTTGTAATTCGGCAGCAGGGGATCAAATACTGTTTTCCCTCACTGTATATAGCTCAGTTGTCCTTTACCTGGTAAAATAAAAATAAATGTTTCTTGTTGTATGCCTCGAAAATACTATACACCCTTGTATCGTCACTTTCTGGAAGGTTATCAGTTCATGAATGCTTCGGAACACGGTGACGGACTTTCTATGCAACCATTAGTGATTCTCCATACATCACAATGCTAAAATAATGTATTGTTAAATTGAGTCGTCACATTGTAATGACAATTACTGGAATCCCTGCAGAAGGCCATCATTGCAGGCCGAAAAAATACCGTACACTCTCTGGAAATGATCAGTCACCCGTTTCACACTGCAGAGGGCACGACAGTATTTCCCCAAGCAGGGCAGGATGAAGCTTGGGGAGGGCCCAGGTTTGCTGCTACAGCTTTAGGGGCATCTCTCTTTATGTTCCATTTCTTCCAAACTCATGTTTTGTCAACACCCATAGCCGATGTCAACCTCTCCATTGTTATCCATCCCGGTTAATTCAGTCATGGGTTTTTAACAATAATAAATGACACTAATAAAGCGCGTTTCACCCAGAGGTCGCAAGGTGCTGCACATAGCTAAAAGCAAGCAAGTAAATAACTCACGCAATTCTCAAACCTAATATAAGCATGCAGGCTCATGATTTAACCACAGGTACACATAAAATAGAATGTGGTTTGTATAGCTAAATCAAAGTTTAAATTAGGAAAACTAAATTCCTGTGAGTAATAGCCATTGAGGATTTGGCTGTAATGACTAAATTGTCTCTCGGGCTCATCATTGCACTGTAGTGTTGTATTTCAGCCATTCTAAAGCAATTTATATATTTGTGGGAGCCCAGGGCAGTATTTGATAACACCCCGGCATTAACCTGTCCTCAAAGATTCCTTGACGAATCAACCTTTTATTGTATGTATGTTGAACTTCTTTCGCACCGTATCTTAGCCAACCGTGCTGTTATAGTCACGCTAAATTTATATATATGACTACAGCACTGCCAACAACAGTCCCGCACATTTAATATAAATGGTTGTTTATTAAGTCAACACGTGTAAAAGAATGATTGAAATGCGTTGGAAGGAGATAATATTCAAACTACGCCTACAGGTGGCAGAGAACCACGCCACGCTGGTGCGCTACACGGCGCTGCTGCGGAACCTGACGGTGCGCGTGGAGCGAATGGAGCAGGGCCATGACCGCTACACAGAGCTGGACTTTGAGCTGCTGCGGGTGGAGATCCGGGAGATGGAGCAGCTGGTGCAGCAACTGAAGGTGGAGGTCTCCAGCGCCACGCTCGATCGTCTCCACCTCTCGGTGAGTCATGATTAACGCAAAGGCACGCAATTGTTTCCATCAGGGGTGTTGTATTATGGTAATGCTTGTGAAAATGTGTAAAAATACACACATACTGACAAAAAATTACAGCCCTTTGTCATTCCACTCTGGTCATGGGGGTTGTTCGATCATTTCCAAACCATACTTCACCACCCTGGTCATTGAGGGCTGGTGAGTCGGAGGGGAAGAGCATGGAAACAGAAACGGTGCATAAATCACTCGGATATTAAATGGCCTTCCTTAGCGAAATTGCTTGCAAAGGGATGAGGAATTGTTACTATGTTAAACCACAATGGTTTATTACTTCACTGCTGTCCTGGAGATAATGTTTTAATGTCCTTTGTCTAATTGCTATTAGAGTGTAGAAAGGGTTTCAGTTCTCATTACTCTTGGATATTTATGTACGTGTTCCACACATGTGCACTTTATTCAATAAACATACTGCCCGCCATTACAGGTCATACACGTGCTTAATTACAGAGCCTATTGTTGGAATGTCACAGGGTCGGGGGTTCATATTTTAACGAACACGAGGGGTAGGCAAGTGGCTAACACGTGGCAGTATAAAGACATAAGCATGTTAATGGAGTTCTCATGTAATTTGACAAGATGTGGGTCCCAGGGTCACTGGGCCTTGGGGTCCTGGATGTATGAGGGGGGATTAAAGGGTTGCAGTTTCCAAGTATTATTCACCATTCACATATTTGAAAAAAAAGTGAATATCACGTTTACTGTATGATATACAAGAAACGGGTAGGTTATGAAAACGAAACAAGATTTTAAATCACAATACTTTGTTAGAGCTACCTGAGGTTATAATTTTAAGATTTTTTTTCCTCTGAATGAAGTGTATTTTTAAAGAAACATGAACATATTAATTATTGATTATACAAATGTAATCGTGCCATATATATGAAAAGTTATTTTCCTTCAGAGAAAGAACCGTAATACTGATTACTATTCATTGTTGTAAATGTTCAGTGTAGCAACTCATAACACAACTTGCTATGTAGCGGTGAATTTAGCAGTTTCACGTGAAGACATATGCAGGCAGCTCAATTAAAATATATCTGGACTGGAATTAAAGTTCACTGCTTCTGCCGTAAAATAAGGCACCGCGTGAATATGGCTTATGTGGATACAATGTTGATGTTATTTGCTTTGTGAGGGTTGTTCTCCTGGCACTCCAGTTCTCACATGGCAGAGCAGTAGGCAGGGCAAATGTTAGACAGAGCGAGGCAAAACAACTTTATGGGCGGGAATTGTGAGTGAGTGGGCGTGGCCATGTAAAAGTGGGTGGGGTTGATGGAGGGAGGGCCCTACCAGCTCAGCACATGTCCCATTTTAGTCTCCCAGACATTTGGTAGCCATTCCCCTACAGTTGACTGTCACATGCAACAATATTTTAGAAGTGCTTTCTACTACGCAAACAGAAGTCCTGAAATATTCACATCACTCATTAAAAAATTCTGGCGTATATAAATATTAAAGTTTTTGTTTGTAACACTTATGACGCAATGTATTATAACTCCATCCTGGTCTACAGATCCAGAACGTCAGCGTGGTGGTGAACACGCTGGAGAGCTACGACAGGAACAACGTGCTGCTCATCCGACGCCAGGTGGACACTCTGCGCAAGCAGCTGCAGGACTGCCAAGAGGAGGCCTCTAATGCTGGCCAGCCCCCGGGCAGCAATCCTGGCCAGCAGCCCCCCATAGGTGAGCTCCATATATCAGTGGTTCTCTTCAACCTATACAAACACTGTAGTAGATAGGGGTCGGGTTAAGTGCAATACAAGTGCAAATCAAATACAGCAGAAATACAATAATCCGTGATGCCATAATCCGTAAATCCCTATAATTTGCGGATTATTGGCTGTTCGCAACCGTTCCTGCAATCCGTGGCACACCGTGGCAGATTGATTCCACTCTGTGGACAGCCAACCACGAACATTAGACGTGGCCATGGTTCTTCAGAGCTGCAGGGGTCGAGCTGTTGGGAAATTCTGAGTTAAGCTCTTTTTTTACTTTGTATTTGTTTGTTGCATCTGCACATCCTAGTTGCGCTTAATAGAAAATAATTTTTGCATTTTTTTGACTTGTATAGCAATATTTTAAACTGCTAAATCGCTTAATATCGACCCCAAATGGCAGATTGCACTTCTTGGGAATTAGAAAAATTTGAAACCTCATAATCCTCACATTAACTGCAAGTTACCTTAGCTACTAGTCACGTGTCATGCTTCCTCTGTAATCTGCAGCTTTTTTCCAGATTAGCAGAATCGCGCTGCCGATTCCTGTTGTAATGCGCTGCACACCGCATCAACATTAAACATTTTCGTGTTTTAGTTGGTCTATTATTTTGATATGCTCCACCATATGAATGCCAATGATTGTATCACTTTTGTAATGCCCAAAGTGAGGGAGGAGCCTCCACTACTTTATAGTGGATTTAAAACAAAACCAGTTGGTCTGTGACGCATCTGCGACATGTTTGCTTTCCTGCTGCACATATCACGAGGGAAGTTCATGGTTCATGCGGAATTGTTTTTTTTTTCTTTTAACTCTCTGATTTTTGTTGAGATATGTGGGTTTGCTGTTTTTTGGGGCCTGTTTTAATTGGAGATCACTCACTTGGGCTTCCTCTTCAAGCCCTGCCCCTTTGTCTTTACAAACCGCCCATTTCCGTTGTGGCCTGCCCCTTCCTCTATTGGCTCCGCCCCCTTCTATTTAGGCCCTCCCCTTTTCACTTGAGACCCCGCCCCTTCCTGAACACCATTTTCCTTTTGGCCCTGCCCTCTCACCTTTCGACCCTGCCCCTTATTCTTGGTTCTTTCGGTAAAGTCACGTAGATAGGAAAATAAATAATAGATCACACCGTTTCGATCGCAACAACAAGCAATCGTCTTCAGGTGAGAGAGAGAAGCATGCTGTTGTGATGAGGCATTATATAGATCCGAGAGAGGGGAGAGAGGGAGGGGAGGCTGTAACGGGCGAGAGGGTGCAAGTGAAATTCAAAGAGGGCTTAGGTGAGAGAGAGAAAAAATGAAAAGGAAGCTTAGATATCAAACTTAACACAATTTAGAAATGTAATGCAACTCAGAGAGTCGGCTAACACAACAGTTAACATTTTACCTGGTTGATAAACACCCTTCCAAAGATTGCTAAATTTTGCATCCATCTTCTCGGTTGAAGTTATGTCTGAGTTGTGTGGAAATCCTCCCTGTATGAATTCCTGCAGTCACGAAAGTTTAAAGTCAAAATTTACCCTGCCCCTTGTTGCTTGGAGTCCCATCCTATACCTTCCCTTTTGAGGACCCATCCTTCTTTAGACCCCCCTCCGCATATTTCTGTTTAGGTCCCCCCCCCCCCACCTCTTCTTCCAGACACAGGGTTAGACTTGTTTGGGTGGTGGTGAGGGTTGTGGAGATTGTGGAAGGGAAGTGCACAGCAGTGGTAGTGGTGACCGGGGACAGCAGTGGGTATGGGTGGGTGGAAGCAGTTGGGGTGGGGTGGCTACGTGATGACGACCAAAAACCCTCTCAGAGGAGCAGTATAGTAATTGTGTCTAAAATGTCTCCCTATTAATTTAGTGGAGTGTATATAAGTGGATTACCCTGGAAATATTTTAAAAAGTTAAAGTAGTAAGTTCTTGTGTGGCCCTGACTAAACAATTCTGGTGTTACACACATCCATTGGTCATGATGGACATTACCGATTCCTGTGGTTGCGACCGAGATTTAAGTTGTATATTTGTATTAATAAAACAGTTTACGTGTTTGATCATTTTTAAATCATAATTAGAAATTTCAATGAACTTTTTCTCCTCATGGAAACGTTAAAAACATTTTCTAAAGTGTGTTTTCTTTTCAGGCTCATGCGTGCACGGTGGCTTGCAGAACGTCAGCACACCATATATTCACATTCTGAACATGCAAGGTGCAGCGTTCCGATATGGTGCATTCGGGAAAGACCCACTCCCACTGAAGGGACGTGAGGATGTGTACTGGGTGATAACCAGCAATCAGGTTTACTTTACTGTGATGCAGATGTTTGCTAACTACCGGGCACTGCAGACGTATGTGCAGATGGAACAAAAGACCCTTTCTTGTGGATCTGATTGTGGTTATGGAATGGATGCAGTGATGTACAAAAATCACATGTTTTACAGATGCTATACTGGTGTCTCTATTTGCAAATATAACCTGACAGCCTCCACTATTACCAGAGTAAATCTCCCTCAAGCATCAGGAAGCAATTTGTATCCTTACCTGGGCTCTACCTATTCTGATATGGATTTCTCTGTGGATGAACAGGGTCTCTGGGTCATTTACTCTGTTGATGGGAAGTTATCCCTTGCTTTACTTAATGATACTTCCCTTGCTGTTATCAGCAGCTGGACCACCACGCAGTACAAACCCTCAGTTAGCAATGGCTTCATGGTGTGTGGAGTCCTGTACCTCACGCGCACTTCTAGCCTCAAAACTGAAGAGATCTACTTTGCATTTGACACAAAAACTAACCAAGAGAGGTTAATGAGCATCGTGATTTCGAAGCCCTTAGAAAAGATGAGCAGCCTTAACTACAACCCAGCTGATCACAAGCTGTACATGTATAATCAGGGATATTTGGTTACTTATGATGTGACCTTTAAACCAATATAATTGATAACAATAATACGTAGTTCATTGTATGAGAGCTTCAACAATTCAATCTGTAGAGTATTATTGATAGTTGCCAAGGGCATATACTGCATCGTGTAATATTTTAAATGAGCGTGCATCGGTTATTTGTTTACCCATTTCAAATAGATGATGCTGCATGATTTCTAGACCTAGACACACTCCAGGTGTGAAATACATCGAAATTATATAAAACAAACGTTATGCTCCAATTATGACAAGCCAATGCATGGATGCTGTGAATGTGGCATTTGTTTATTCAGTTCGGTATTTGTTGTTGTTGACGTAATTTAAACAGCAATAAAAAACAAATCAATTGCGCAACTCGGGAGTTGGTCACCAACCAGTATGGTGAACTTATTTCGCGCCGTACGTAGACAACCATACTAATCAGAGGTCGTGGGCATTAAGGGGTAGCAACCTCATAGTGCACTGCCTTTTAGCCACAATGCAGCCGCCTCAACAAGAACAAAGGGTGGCCCAGCTATGCAACTACCGATGTCCAGCACTGCACCGACAACAGATGTAACTGACGTGATGTACACGATGTTGCAGTTAACAATAAACAGGCAACAACAAACTTAACTCGACGATGCATCTGTCGCACACAGAGACCCATCAAACGCAACTGCACGAAGACACCATGACACGCACTGTCATTGTCGGGGGCTGTACAAGAGAAGGTTCTGGAAGGCGCGCGTTGAGATCATTGGAAACAGGTGGCTCGATGGCACTGTGAGCATGATTCTATTAAGGACACACATGTTAGAGTCAAGTACCTGGTGCGGTGTGTGAACATCGCCACGAGGGAGACAAACCCAGCCGGGCGTGGTGCTGGCCACCCACCCCCTCGTGTGCCATGCCGGCCTTCATAGGTGCTGCTCGCAAACAGCACTTGCCCCTACAGTCTGTTAAGGCTACACAGGGGGTCTTTGTCTTTTTTGGTGTCTGACCACTAGTTCGGTGGATGTGAAACAATCGGCCTGCTTCCAGTAGCAGGCTGGAGATGTCGTCGGCACAACTTCAACAGCGACAGTTTCATGACCGACCTTGAGCAGTCTGTTTTCACCTGCTCGTTGCTTGACGCTTGACGTGCCACTGCCATTTGTGGATGGTTCTTCACGAGCATGAAGATCGGCGCCACGGTACGGTCGAGACTGTCGCCTCGTGATAGCAACTCGCCATTGCCATGAACGGAACTAAAATGCTCCAATCAAATCTGAGTGTTACTCCTGCAGCCGCCTTGCGCAACCTGCCGCATCAAAGTTGATTCAAGTACATTGGGACAAAGGTCAATGTATATTATGTATATCTTTTTGCAGTTACTTACAAAGATGGAACTACGTGCTGAAAAAATACCGCTAATGTTGATGTAAGATATAAAAATAACAAATGCATTACTTTAATTATTTTTCCTAAGCATGGTATCATTATTGCCAACAACAAAACATTGACAATCTCAATATCCTTTATTAAAAATTGAATGCATTCAATTACACTTACTATATTGGATGAACATATTCTAATGCCACCTCCATAGGCAACAATCTATCTGCCTCTCGCTCTCCGCCACGGCTTGATATGTCCCATTCAGAGACCGAATAGAAACACCCCTTTACGTGTTTTTAATCGCACTGGGTGGCTATAAAACGACGTTTAAGACTTGCATTCGCTCCCGATCCATATGCAAAGTAGAAGAAAAACAAAGCATTTGAAGCGTTCCGCCTATTAGCACGTTTGTCTACGTACGGTGCGAAAGAAGTTCAACCCCCGTGCTGGTGACAAACTCCCAAACGTTGTGCCGAGACAAATTAGAACATCTTTCGGAAATATTTATATTCTTAGTTTTTTCAACGTGACTTTACCGAAAAAACTAAGAATATGAATTACTGCAGTCACGAAAGCTTTAAATCAAAAATCTTTCGGAAACTTAAAAAATCGAATCTTTTCAATTTTAAACTAAGAATAAAAAATGTGATGTACTGCTGGTCAGTGGTGTAAGCTCCACAATACCAGAGGGCCTCTCACCTCCGTCAA